TCAATACATTTACCCGAACTTTAACCAGATAAGTCTTTGAAATTTATTATTCATTTATTCTGTTTTATAATATATTTTCGTATTAACAAACCAATTTGCAGATTTTATGAAATCTCATTTCGGATTTGGCGATCCGTTTATTCATGAATTATTTGTATGGTGAGGGATCACTCGATCTTATTTATATTTTTGCTAATAATTGCATAAGTAAAAAATTATATATATTATTGTCAAAGGTAGTCACATAGTGGATAGATATATTAAAATGTTATGAAGCAAAGATATATTTATTCTTCTGGAATTTCACAATCACCATATAAATATGTTGTTTCTATATCACGAGCTATCCACAATTTTGTATCTAATGGGTTAATGCTCCTTCAAGACCAACAATACCCCCAAGACCAATGATAGTAATGCCCCAAGACTAATGACTCCAATCCAGAAAGCGATCAAAAAAAGCTATCTGGTGTGGGCATAATTCTTAATTATCAAATTCTATTTAATTATCCGGGTATCAATCCTATAATATTTTCAAAAGTAATAAAACATAGTGGTTACTATAGCTTTTGATTTTTTATTTGTATTTGTATTATTTTATTTGTATGTTCCCATTTTGGCAAAAAAAAATTTTATTAAATAAAGTCTTTAGTCTTTTCTCCCTGTATTCACATATTTATTCAATGATCAGTCCACTTTGTGCAGTAATGTGGTGTAGTGTTTATTTTTTCTAGTTGCTGAAGCAGAACACCATGTCACCAGGATGCAGTAATGTAGTGCAGTAATATGTCATTTCTCTGAAATACTTCTATGTTGATTCCACTCATAATAATTTTCTGGATTAAAGATTACTTAGTTCTAATTGGCTTATTTTTACGATGTTTTCGGCTAGAAGAGATAACCTTTTTCTTTGTAATATGGATGTATTTCTTTCGGGGTTTTTTTAGATCAAGATCGTACCAGTCTGAACCCGTGGATTTTGAATCGAAACTGGATAAATTAGTCTTTATAGATAATTTCTTAAACATATCTACAAACTTTTCTAAATTTAGATCAGGTTTATCGATTTCTGTTTCAGAATAAGATAAATTATTTTTACTAGAGCTGGCTTTATTACTATTTTCTTCGATTAATGGGATACTCATACCATCGATTACAA